AAAGGCTGGATTCAACCATGCCTAGGAGTGAATCTGTGAAATTATTGTGTCTTGTATCTCTTAGGCATACAAGCACTGAAGTGTTTAACCCTAACCGGGTTAAAGGTTTAATGGCTATCTGAATAAGGCCAATGTGTAAATATTTGTAATTATTCTCTTTATATTTTTCTATAACTTTTTTGGATAGTAGTTGAAAGTCCTCTTGGTTCTGTGTAACCGACAGGCTTTCTTCTACTGTTTTTATAGCGTAACCCATTTTGAATTTAAATGATCCTTTATGGTAAATATCTTTTATTGGTACTGAATATTCCAGTTTTGAATATGATCTTCAATATCATTTATTATAATCTGTTCTTTATTTTTTACTCTTAATGTTTGAGATGTAATTGTACTGTTACCTTTAAGATTTCTAATTAAATTTGCCATCTATAGGTTGCGGATAATGACAATCTGGACGATCAAGGGTCCAGCGTGTTCCCCTAAGCGGCTCTTCCTGGCCTTAAAGGGTACTTTGCCTAGACTTGTCCTTTCGTCTCTTGCCTTAACTCTCGAACCAACTTTCTTAGTGGTAAATTTAACTAGGTTTCTTTAGTAATAGTATAACTTTTACCTTAGTACAGTTTTACTGAGTTGTTACAGTGGTACTGTATGGTACATTTGTACTGTATGGCTCTGACCACAAACGCCCAAGATCTACAGTCCGATCCTATTGTATAATTTAAAGTAAATAAGTAAATATTAAAGTATTATATTTATAGATTTCTTGTAAAATCTTGTAAAAATTGAGACAGAATAAAATGATACAGATAAAAGGTATAACTGATATATCAATAACGAACCACTGAATATGATTAAATTCACCTATTTTAACACTAAATATTATTTTAAATTGCATAGTAAACTTTCATAACATATTATTACATCGTAAACTTTCATAACATTCTGAAACAAACTTTATTTATAAACTGTAACACACTAGGGATTACAAACAAACTGTTACAGAAAATATTACAGACAAATGATTGATCAAACAAACAACTGTAACCAAAAGTAAACTATCATAGAACTATAACACACTTACTGTTTACAGATACATTAACTGGAAAAGAGTTTCCAGTGTTGCGGACAGTATGAAGGAAGGGAATTCATATTGCAATCACACATGCTGATTATAAAATAAGGAAGAGAGATAGAACCTGGTAAGTGAATGATAAATGAAGCTATGAGGTCAAGATAGCTTTTGATTGATGTAGTATTCAGTATCTTCAAGGAGAGAGTCTGAGCATAGAAGCTTAGAGGTCTCTGAGAAAGAAGAGGAGTAGAATGAGGTGGCTCGAAGAGAGAGAGATAGAGCAGAAGAGCTCAGTGAGGGAGAGAAGCAGAGGAGCAGGAGAGAAGCAGAGGAGATGGAAGAGGGAGAAGAGCAGAGCTCAGAGGGTTGCGACCTGCCTTCGAATGAAAGGGAGCCTCCCCTTTTATAAGCGAAGTTGCTTCCGGAGGAAGCAAAGGTGGGAGGAAGTGGACAAGAAAGATGAGACCGAAAAGGAATCAAACAAAAAGAAAAAGGAGAGACAAGACTAAAAGAGAATAAAGCCAAAAAAGAAAAATAAGTGGCTACAGTGAAAAGCCAAGTGGCTACAGTGAAAAGCCAAGTGGCTACAGTGCTTGCTTTGTCTGTTTATGATCATGGGTACAGTAACGGCATCTTGCACAGTTATCTCTTTGTCTTTTATGTCGGTGGTGCTTTTGTCGTTTTTGACATAGTACGATCATTCTTTATCATAGTGTCGGTGGAGCTAGCAAAGGGAATCTTTGTACAGTCCTGGGGATCTATCTATTCTATGAGGTATCTTTCTTGGAATATTTTTCAATGATTCTTCAAGGCCTTTGGCTAAACTTGTCCGGGTCATCTTCTGCTAGATCTGTTTTTTCATCCGGATCTTCTTCAGGGAGTTGCAAATATTGTTTGGTGTGTAGTGGGGAAGATTGTACAGTTTCTTCTGAGGAAACTGGTTTCTTTCCTGCTTCAGCAAATATTTCTTTTATTTGTTGTTCTAATATTTCTTTTGAGGCATTGAGATTGGTTTGAAGCATATTCCTTAAGTAGGTTGGAAAATCAAAAGAGGTGTTTGCTGTATTTAGGCTTGTCTGGTATATAGGTGTTTTCTGGAGTATTCTTTTTGGTGTAATGGTTGTGGGATCCATATTGAATATATCCCACCATTTTACTGAGATGGTTTTTTCCAGTCTAGGAATATAGGTAAAATCGACAGTATTATTGACTGAGATGGTATAATCCCATTTCATGATCCATGGGATTTGGTATAAGGCCATGAAATAAAGGTGAGTATCTATTGTATTGTCAATATTATTGTATTGCACGAACTGTTCCTGCATTGTTTTGAAAGCAAGAGGTAAAATTTGAGATGTTGAGCCCCACACTAAAAACCAGTTTTGAAACCATGTGGGGAATCTTTCAAATATAGGTAGCCGCAACTGGAGGTACCAGTTGTGTGTGTTATTGGGATTTTGGTAGTAGAAGAATTTATGCCAGGCTTCAATATATTCGGCATATTTATAGTATTTGTAAGAGAAATCTAGGTTGTGCAGTTTCTTTCCTTGCGCGGGAGTACAACCCCACTCATCATAGGAAAGTAGTTTCTTTATTTGAACCTTCGAGTACGCAATGACTCTAGTGTTCTGCTGATAATAATGGACTATGGATATAGATCCAGTTTCCATTAGAATAGCTTCATAGTACTCTTTTGTTTTCACTCCATTGGTTGGGTTTAGGTGATTGAGCAGATATAAGGGAGCAAGTTTAATTGGATCTGTATTGATGTGTTGTTCATCAATAGTAATATCCATGAGATAAGCTCTTTTAATATAAGAGGTTTTTGGCATATTGGGTCTAAAAACAGATTTGGATTGGGCTGAAGAATATATAAAATTGGAAATATGGGCTTCAGGATAGGTGATCTGATGAACAGGAGATTGTGAAGGTGAACGGATTGCCAAAGGCGAAGGTTCTCCTTCGAATGGTATAATATTGGTCATAAGGTGTTTATCGTGGCGAGAAGTGCTACAAGAACCCATTGTAGGTAAAGGTGAAAGTGCATCATTTTATTCTGTCTC